AAGGGCCTTCAGTCTTGTGGGGGCGCACTTCAATTTGAGAAAAATGGCTGTTGAAAGGCTTTATATGGCAAAGGCTGTTGTATGGGTCAAAATCGTAGACACTTTCAGCAGACACCAGAAAAAGATTGGAGACCTTTGAAATGTGATGTTATAAACGAATGTTAAGAATAAGTTAGACTGACAGGAAAACAAATGAAGAAGTACGAAGGTAATAATAACTTCAAGAGAAATACTTGAAATGTACAGAAAATAGAAATTAGATACTTTGGTCATATAATTAGGGATGAGGGGATAATAATATAAATATTAATGGTGAAAGTTGAGGGCAGAAGAGCCACGGGGAGGCAGAGACTGGGACGAATGAATGGAATTAAAAGCTGGGTCCCTAGAGAGATACAAAATCTGGTAGGATTAGTAAAAACAGCCCCAGAACGTTTAGAATGGAGGACTGCGGTCACCAACCCTCAGACATGAAGATGATTCTGGGATTAGTTTATATCATATTAATGTTTAGCTTACTTTCTTATCGAGTTCTTTTTATGATAATCATGGAACATCATGTGTACAGTTGCAGACAAAATTCCCTGAACACTTGCCAGTACCTGAGGATCATTAGGTGAGGGGGATTAGAATTTTAACGTATTTTCTCATAATTTTCTTTGTAATAAGGAGTGACTTTTTTCATTTTGTGGTTCCGACTTGATGTGTCTTTACGTCAGTCATCAAGTTTTATGTTTAGTTCTTTAGGTTCTATAACGAACTTTGACCCCCCTTGACCAGGTGTATTTATTGTATGTTTCATCAGACATTACAAAATGAAATTTGTTGTAATTATTGAAATCCATTGAAAGCCATTTCCAGAAATTCATATGTTGGATCTCAAATTATGAATTCCGGAAACGAGTGTCGATAGTTACATCAACATTTCTTCTGTGAGAGGATACAACACCTGTTCGCTCCCCTCCGGGCCGCCCCCAGTCCACCCAGCTGCGAACGAGTATCTTATTAGACAATTAAGGAAAGTGAATGCAATAGAGTACAGTGCCGTCCGTACTGCACCTTTTGTACCCAAAAACGCTTGGTCTATTGGGCCCATTACGGCTAATGGAACTCCCTTTTACTCCTATGAGGTGTCATGAGAAATTAACTGATCTTGGCCGCGTAAGGAACGCTAGGTTGCTTTTATATAAAGCGAGACATGTTTGTCCCGTGGTCACCTTTGTGGCGGTGACTTAGAGCAATGAGCTGTGAGAGAACCCGTCCTGTGAGGCCACCTGTCTCCTGTGCTGTCTGCTCGTGTGGAGATCTAAATAAATCAAAGGATGGTTACTAAGACCTGGAGAGAATATCTTAATGAGATTGATCACGAAAAAAAATTTATATATAGATTCTCACGGACACAACTCCTTCACCGACCAACAAACTCATCACTTATACTTTACCTCTCAGGAAAACTAACCAGAAGTGATCTCTCTCTCTCTCTCTCTCTCTCTCTCTCTCTCTCTCTCTCTCCACACACACACACACCTCAAGCATGTGTGGACTACATTGAAAGAATAACTGGACTAATTTTGGAGACAGCAAGTTAAGTGTCTTGTTCATTAGGCTGGGGATCTTAATATGAGGACCAACATACCACATCACCCTAAGAACTAACACATATTATATATTGTTTCCTTTATAACTTGATATAACAAACATAATTACTTCAGCACTATATAGAAAAAATACTCCAAATTATGTAATAAAGAGTAAACACTGAATACTTGTGCAGAACCTTGATGAGGGCCCGTTAGGTTCCCGTCAGCGTAACTCAACACTGTTTTTACTGCGTCCACCGAGAGTTTAAAAAAATGTTCTCTGTATTGTGTTCTGTGAGGGTGTGTCAACATAGGCAGTCAGAGTAACATGCATACTGTACACATCAAGTACCTCCTCTCCTCCCCGCATCTCCTCCTCTTTCTCTCTTTAAACATTTGCTAACTCCTGTACATGTCAATACCACTTCCCTGGACGTCCCTCCCCCCTCCTCCACCACCCCCAACCCTCCAACACCCCAACCTCCACCATCCCAACCTCCCTCCACCACCCCTAACCTCCACCCAACACTCCCAACCTCCCACTACACCCCAACCCTCCCTCTCCACCAACCCCAACCTCCACCACCCCAACCCTCTCTCTCCACCACCCCAACCTCCCCTGTCCACCAATCTCTAACCTCCTCCACCAACTCCCAACCTCCACCACCCCCAACCTCCACCACCCCAACCCCCTCCACCCCAACCCCCTCCACCACCCCTAACCCCCCTCCACCACCCCAACCTCCCTCCACCACCCCAACCCACCCACCACCCCAACCCCACCACCCCAACTCTCCACCAATTCCCCAACCTCCACCACCCCAACTCCTCCCTCCACCACCCCAACCTCCACCATCCCAACCCCAACCACCAATTCAAAATCTCCACCACCTCTAACCCCCATTCCACCACCCAAACCCCTCCACTTCCTCTAACTACACATTCACCACTGCCCATTTCCCTGGATACTGCTGCCCTCTCCGGGCTTCTGCACACACATTTGCTCCCTGCTGGGCCTGATATTACCAAACTTCCCACCACCGCTTGTAGTAGGAGGGACACGGGAGAGATAACCATAGTAACCACACCGGTAATCATAGTAACACAGATAACTATAGTAACACGAGTAACCATAGTAATACACCGGTAATCATAGTAACACAGATAACTATAGTAACACAGATAACCATAGTAACACACCGGTAACTATAGTAACACAGATAACCATAGTAACACACCGGTAACCATAATTTCTCACCGGTAATCATAGTAACACATAACCATAGTAACACACCGGTAACTTTAGTAACATAGATAACCATAGTAACACATAACCATAGTAACACAACCGGTAACTATAATTACTCACCGGTAACCGTAGTAATATAAATAACCATAGTAAAACACCTGTAACCATAGTAACACAGGTAATCATAGTAACACAGATAACCATAATTACTCACAGGTAACCGTAGTAACATAGATAATCATAGTAACACATAACCATAGTAACACAGATAACCATAATTACCCACCGGTAATCGTAGTAATATAAATAACCATAGTAAAACACCGGTAACCATAGTAACACAGGTAATCATAGTAACACAGATAACCATAATTACTCACAGGTAACCGTAGTAACATAGATAACCATAGTAACACACCGGAAGCCATAAGAACACAGGGAACGATAGCATCACACCTAATCTTAGTAACACACGTAAGCGTAGCAACAAAAGTAAACTATATTAACACAAATAACTACATTAGCAAGGGCAGGTTAGGTTGGGTTGGGTTAGGTTAGGTTAGGTTAGGTTAGGTTAGGTTAGGTTAGGTTTGGTTAGGTTGTAGCGTTCAGTGTGGGATATTTTCGGTGTTGGTTAGGTTAGGTTGTAGCGTTCAGTGTGGGATATTTTCGGTGTTGGTTAGGTTAGGTTGTAGCGTTCAGTGTGGGATGATTTCGGTGTTGGTTAGGGTTAATAAAGTGCCCAGGATATTTTCGGTGTTGGTTAGGGTTAGGTTAGGTCAGGTGCGTTCAGTGTGGGATATTTTCGGTGCTGGTTAGGTTAGGGTTAGGTTAAAGCGTTCAGTGTGGGATATTTTCGGTGTTGGTTAGGTTAGGTTGTAGCGTTCAGTGTGGGATATTTTCGGTGTTGGTTAGGTTAGGTTAGGTTGTAGCGTTCAGTGTGGATATTTTCGGCGTTGGTTAGGTTAGTTGGAAGCGTTCAGTGGATATTTTCGGTGTTGGTTAGGTTAGGTTGTAGCGTTCAGTGGGATATTTTCGGTGTTGGTTAGGTTAGGTTGTAGCACCAGTGGGATATTTTCGGTGTTGGTTAGGGTTAGGGTTGTAGTGTTCAGTGTGGATATTTTCTTGGTGTTGGTTAGGTTAGGTTGTATGTTCAGTTTTAGATATTTTCGGTGTTGGTTAGGTTAGTTGCAGCGTTCAGTGTGATATTTTCGGTTAGGTTAGGTTGTAGAGTTCAGTGTGGGATATTTTCGGTGTTGGTTTTAGGTGTATGAATCAATAAGGGGTGTGTCACGGTGATCTAAATGACATTGTTTTGGTAGGCTGGGCGCTCTTATCTGGACCCTCGACGTTAAATATAGCCAATGCACCTGTTATCTACGTGATGCCATTGTACAAATACTCTGAATATATTTGATTGTAGAAAGATTAGATGAAAACTTTTAAATTTTAGCACTTATATATATCTACTTCATGAATTCTGACGTTGGTGGAATGGAATTAATTTTATCTTTCGTGTTTATAAGCGATGATGTGTGTTTCTCTAGTGATTGCATACGTGTGTTGGTTTGTTTAAAAGATGGGAAGGTGTAATGGGTTACGCTTTCTAATTTCCATTACATGTAGGTAAAAGCTAGCCACCTTCTCTTACAGGCTTACACACACACGGGTGGGCCAGTCTCATACTATCGTAATTATTTGTTCTCAGTTTTATTTTAACAAGCTCAGGTCATTGTGATAACATTCCCCAGGTAGTAGGAAGAGCTATTTAGGCATAAAACAAACGCGATATGAATGATAAGCTCCTCCCCCAACCTGTTGCTTCACTCGTGCGCCGCCAGAGGAGCGCTCCCCACCACAAATTGTGAGGATGCAAACTCGTGCTAGTAACTTTAATTCACATTTCACATTAAACACGTCTTTCTGTTCTATGGTCATTTGTAATGATGTGTTGTCATAAAAGGGCTAAAATTTGTAGATTTATTTTCGAACATATTATAATTTGTGCATCTGTAGTTATCGATATAAGATGGAGTTTAGTGAAGAGAAATCGTCAGCTGATGAGGCCGCCGCACTGGGACCTCTGGCAGATCAGCGTCTTGGAACAGGTCTGAAACCTCGTGTACGGTTAGTTTGTGTTTGGCTACTGTGATGGTGGTACGTGTTGTGCAATGCCGCAATTCATGAAAGATGCCGAGGAGTGTATTCAGAAAATGGGTTCCGTAGAATTGCAGGATCTACTCAATAAAAAGGATGATACTATTCGTCATTTAGAAGCCAAGCTTAAAGTTAAGGATAATGAAATCGTGGAGCTCAAGTCGCAACTGGATAAATTCCAGAGTGTTATGCCGTTTGCGACAGGAGCAGCGGCAGGCAACACTAAAGTCCGGGCACGCAAGACCAGGGCCCAGGGCATCTCTGCTGAACCCCAGACGCTGAAGACCGTACAGGAGCTGGCCAACCTCAGCCAGACAACCTTCCCAGAGGTCCCTAAATCTGCAAGGTAAATGACGCGGACAAATGTTTGTAGAACCGAGCCCACGCGTGGGGATGGTTGGGTGGCAGCGTCGGGGTGGGTTAGTGTTCTGCCCTCATTTCACCCTCGCTGCCGCCGCCACTAACCCATTCGCTATACGGATACGCATACAACCCTGACTCCCTGCTTCCTCAGCGCCCCCAGCCTCCGAGTTTCTTGGGCCTTGCTACACAATCACCCCCCCCCCCTAATCACCTATCTGTGTGACACCTGTAACCCTTTGGCCGGGATTTTTTTTTTGTCCAGGAATCAAGGTGTAGTTTACCATGCTATTTCCCTTCGTGTATTCCGATAACACCATTCAGTCACACACACACACACACACAAACCTCCACACGTACCTTACCACGTTACACCTAATTTTCTGCCATGAATTACAAGTGGTGGTTGGACGTTACCTATTATAGGCCAGTGAGGTAACGCTGCCTCCTCCTCCTCGCCGCCTCTTGTACACCCCAGCAACTTTTACTGCTTCCTCATAACACCACCACTGTCGTTCCCGTAACATTTGTCACTGTACTGTCCTACGTCTTGTGTTAACCACCACTCGTACTGTTAGCAGTGTTGCCACAATTCCGTGGACGTATATGACATCACAAGTCCATAGTTTTTCTCTGGTGATCGTAATATGTAAACAAATATAGTAAAGGTATAATTTTTTTTATTTAAGTTATTCTGCTTATAAGATACAAGTTGTAGCTTTCTGTACTTCGGAAAGTATAAAAAATATATATCTGAATATCATAGCAAGAAGATTTATTTAACAACCATCAGCTGTCTTTATATACGTGTCATTGTCATGCACAATACACAATAGCTTAGATAAGGAAAATAATAAAAATGTTTAATTATTTTCCTTGATAGCAGACGAATGTCCGTAAACCGGCAGACTGTCCATTAGTTACCATTGTCATAAGTGTTAGGACATACACCACTGTCATAAGTGTTAGGACACACCACTGTCATAAGTGTTAGGACATATACCACTGTCATAAGTGTTAGGACATACACCACTGGCATAAGTGTTAGGACATACACCACTGTCATAAGTGTTAGGACATACACCACTCATAAGTGTTAGGACATACACCACTGTCATAAGTGTTAGGACATACACCACTGTCATAAGTGTTAGGACACACACCACTGTCATAAGTGTTAGGACACACCACTGTCATAAGTGTTAGTCGCCAGTCATGAGTGTTTCGATTAGTCGCCAGTCACATGTGGTCTGTCAATCACCAGTCAGTTGTATTATTTTATTCATCACCGTGACGATTCTTACATCATTCACTCGTGTCATACATGTCCCGTGAGTTACCATTGGCATAGATGTTTTATTTTTCACTTCATTCTAATACTCAATACTTTATCTACCACTGTCTCAATTTTGTCATCACACACATGTGTCTTTTGTCATCACTGTCAAACGTGTCTTCCTATTGTCATCACTTACATGTGTCTTTTGTCATCACTGTCACACGTGTCTTACTATTATCATCACTGTCACACGTGTCTTACTATTGTCATCACTGTCACACATGTCTTACTATTGTCATCACTGTCACGACTATTGTCTTCACTGTCACACGTGTCTTACTATTGTCATCACTGTCACACGTGTCTTACTATTGTCATCACTATCACACGTGTCTTACTATTGTCATCACTGTCACACGTGTCTTACTATTGTCATCACTGTCACACATGTCTTACTATTTGTCATCACTGTCACACGTGTCTTACTATTGTCATCACTCACATGTGTCTTTTGTCATCACTGTCACACGTGTCTTTTGTCATCACTGTCACACGTGTCTTACTATTATCATCACTGTCACACGTGTCTTACTATTATCATCACTATCACACGTGTCTTACTATTGTCATCACTGTCACACATGTCTTACTATTGTCATCACTGTCACACGTGTCTTACTATTGTCATCACTGTCACACGTGTCTTACTATTGTCATCACTGTCACACATGTCTTACTATTGTCATCACTGTCACACGTGTCTTATTATTATCATCACTGTCACACGTGTCTTATTATTATCATCACTGTCACACGTCATCACTATCATTCATGTTTCCTTGGCCACCACTCATAAATGTCACAATATCCGTTAGTATATACTGTCATACATAGCGAACGCTGCCACGCACGTTACCGCCACTGTCACTTCCGGTACATGTTTAACCTATACAGTACGTCACATACAGTACGTCACACTTGTCACCACTGTCAATCAAACCACAACTATGATGAGATGCGTCGTCACACATTGTCGTTTGTGTTGCGCTATCGGCCACAGGTAAAGGTCTCATACAACTGTCCTCACTCGGCGGAGACAACACCCAGAGCGTAATAGATAGGTAAATTGTGAGATCAGTATAAATAGACTATAGATATTCTACACGTATCTGCCGCTGTAAAATAATCTAGTCACAATGACAAACTTTTCTGGTATCTAATCGTAGTTACCAGACTACAGGAACCTATCTATAAATAGACTCGTATCACTTACGAAACATAAGAACATAAGGAGTCTGCAATAGGCCGGTGGGCCTGTTCATGGCAGCTCCTGTCGAGAGTTACTACCACTCTATCATCCATGAATCTATCTAGCCTCCTTTTAAAACTTTCCAGCGTTCCAGCACTTACTACAAAGTTGCTAAGCTTGTTCCACTCGTTCACCACCCTATTTGTGAACCAGTTCCTTCCTATCTCCCTCCTAAACCTAAACTTATCCAACTTAAATCCGTTGCTACGAGTCCTATCTTGCTCGGATATTATAAGAACTTTATCTATATCCTCTTTATTGATTCCTTTCACCCACTTAAATACTTCTATCATATCTCCCCGCACTCTTCGTCTTTCTAGGGAATGCAAGTTTAGTTTCTTTAACCTATTTTGATATGGAAGGTTTCTTAGTCCCGGAATCATTTTCGTCATTCTTCGCTGCACCGACTCCATTGAATTGATATCCATTCTATAATAAGGGCACCAGAACTAAATCGCATAATCGAGGTGCGGTCTGACTAGCGCAAGATATAGTTGCAATAAGACCTCTGCACTCTTATTACTTACACTTACAGATATAAAAACCTAATACTCTGTTTGCCTTATTTCGAACATTAACGCACTGTTTTCTAGGCCTTAGGTCCGGGCTTACAAGTGCCCCTAAGTCTCTTTCACAAGTCGACTTCTCTAGGTTGATGTTGTTAAGTCTATATACATTGACAGTATTTGTTCTTCCAATATTAAGTACGCTGTACTTGCTGGTGTTGAATTTCATTTGCCATTTGTCTGACCACTCCTGCAGTTTATTTAAATCCTGCTGTAGTGCATTTGCATCCTGCCCTGAATTAATTTGCCGCCCTATTTTGGTGTCATCCGCAAACTTGCTTATGTCACTGCTGATGCCAGTATCTAGATCGTTTATGTAGATTATGAACAAGAGTGAACCCAGTACTGACCCCTGGGGAACCCCACTGGTTACACAGCCCCACTCAGATTTAACACCATCTACGTTGACCCTCTGTGTTCTATCGGTGAGCCATGATTTTATCCAATTTAAAACTTTCCCCTCGATACCATGCGCCTTAACTTTTCTCAGAAGCCTCTGATGCGGTACTCTGTCAAACGCTTTGCTAAAGTCAAAGTAAATAACATCGTAATTTTCGTCATTATCTACTACCTCGAAGACTTTCCTAAAAAACGTCAGCAGATTTGTTAGACAAGATTTTCCCTTTGTAAACCCATGTTGAGAGTCGTAGATTAATTTGTTTTTCTCTAAATGCGATCGGATGCTATTTGCTATAATTTCTCCACTACTGACGTCAAACTAATCGGCCGGTAATTTGACGCTGATGCTCTGTCTCCCTTTTTGAATATGGGTACTACATTTGCCTGTTTCCACAAGTCTGGCACAACTCCCTCGTCTAATGATTTTGTAAATAAATTTACAAGGGTCCGCTAATCTGTTCCTTACACTCTTTCAAGACTCGAGGGAAGATTTCATCCGGCCCTGGGGATTTTGTCTTCTTTAATTTATTTATCTTCTTAAGAACATCCTCTTTTCTGATAGTGATATTCTTTCATTTCTCTTCTCCATTTCCCCTAAATATCAGTTCCACCTCTGGAATTTCCTCGTGAATTTCTTCTGTGAAAACTGATAAGTAGCTGTCAGGGCCGGATTAAGACCCTAAGAGGCCCTAAGCACTTAAAAGATTTTGGTGCCCCCCCCCCCCCATATATATGTAATTCAAAATATAAACAATAATAAACCATAAAATAAAATGTTATTTTTCGAAATTAAACAAAATTTACAGTAAGATGGAAAATAATGTTTATTTTTGTATACGTCCACTTTATTTATAGTTGAAAAGTTTTCTCAGACTTTTTTTAATTGCAAAGTCTTTGATCAGATCCTCAAAACTAGTCTTATGTAACACATCTGCTTCTATACTTAGTAGAGATAAGGCATCCAGCCTGCCTTGTTGCATAGTTGTTCTGATGGGATTTTTAATATACTTCAACTTAGAAAATGAACGCTCAGCTGAGCAATTTGTGACCATTAATGTTAAAAATATACGAAAGCCAATATCAACATTTGGAAAGGCACACTCAATATTGTCTTCTACAATCATTTTATAAAGTTCAGCATGACTGAATCTTGTTTTTACATTTTTTGTTGCACTGAACTTATGGCGCACATATAAGTGAAACTGCTGAAGCTCAGCTGAGAAATTAGTGTTGAAATCCTCTGGGTAAGCATCAATCAGCTTTTGACAGCACTGAGAATACCTTTCAATTTCAGTAGATGATGAAGTGGCATTATCTGGCACATCACTTAGAAAAGAAAACCTCTGCTATTTCTTTATATATCTCTCCTCTTCTTCTCATCTCAGTTTCAAGTTTGTCAATAATTGTGTAAAAGGTGGTGATACGAAATTTATCTCTGGCATTCAGATATACTTCTGGTGCATCTCCGACATTGGGTACCTTCTTTCTGATACGTTTGCGAGTTTGAGCTGCCTCTTTTTGTGAACCCTGGTTCAGCTGCACCATTTGCAGTTTTGCACCATATGGTCCATGGTAAATCCGGCTATGGAAAATTTCCGTGGTGCCCCCCTTCCCTTGATGCCCGAAGCACGTGCTTATTTTGCTTAATGGTTAATCCAGCCCTGGTAGCTGTTTAATGCTTTGCTTATTTTCTCTGTATCTTCGATTACTTCTCCTCTCTCTGACTTTAAAGGTCCCACTTTGTCCTTGACCTTTGTCCTATATACCTGGAAAAATCCCTTGGGATTCGCCTTGGGTTCTCTTGCTATCCTGATTGTGTAGTCCTTCTTTGCCTTCCTTACATTTTTCTTCACATTCCTAGATAGTTCATTATACCTATTTCTGAGCTGCTCCTCCCCTCCCTTCAATTTCTTATAAATTCCTTTCTTTATTCATATGTCATGTTTAAGTTTTTTGGTCATCCACCTTGGCTCATTCTTATTTGACCTAATTTTTCTGTATGGTATATTTTGTTCTTGTGCTTTATGTATTATATTAGTGAATATATTATAGTCCTGATCAATTGTTATGTCGCCGGTGACCTCACCCTTTCCTACCAGGGACTGACTTGACTGTTCCCAGGTGACCTCACCTAGGTACCTTCTTAACCCATCATAATCCGCGGATCGAAAGTTTGGGACTCTGACCATATTGTCATTGTTTTTCGTTTCCCAATTTAGGGTGAACCTGATTTCTCTGTGATCACTGTTCCCTAGTTCTTCCCCTACTGTGATATCTCCGATAATATTTTCTTTATTTGTTAATACTAGGTCTAATATATTGTCACCTCTAGTAGGTTCTTTAATTAGTCGTTTTAAAAAATTGTACTGTACTGCGTCTAGGAAGTCTTCAGATTCATAGTCGCCTACAATGTTGTCCCAGTCAATATTTCTAAAGTTGAAATCCCCCATAATGCACAGGTTGTTGTATTTTGCTGCCCTACTCATTTCCTGCCATATGGGCTGAGCTGCTTCTTTCCCAAGACTTGGGGGGCCTGTAAATCACTCCCATAATTAGTTTTTCTCTTCCTTCCTCAATTTCTACCCATACAGACTCGGTTCCTATTTCACCCTTTATTGAATTATTAATACAACATTTTAATGTATCCCTGACGAAGAGTGCGACCCCCCCCCTTCCCTGTCCTTGTGAAAAAGGTTGTACCCTTCTATGTGGTACTCCAAGTTTCGGTGATTGCTATGACGTCTACATTCTCGGTACATACAACCGCTCTCAACAAGTCTATTTTATATCTAACACTCCTACTGTTTGTATAGTATACATTTAAATCTACCCTTCCCTGGTCCTGTTTTACCCCTTGTCCTGAGTAACCAATTTTACTTCCCAGGACCTGCTTGTTTTTTGACTCCCACCTACCCCGACCTTTCTCTACTGGCGACCCCCCCTTTGGAGTGACACTTTCACGCACCAGGGATGCAGACAACGTCTTTACCCCCCCGCGCGAGACAAGTGTACTCCGTCACGACTGTACAGGTAGTCGTTGCCTTAGAATCGTCGCCAGTTATCAATGAGCGCCCAACCATTGCTTGATTCACCCAGTTTTTAGTGTTCAGACCTGTGCGGTATTTCGGTTCTTCATATCTTTCAGTTTTATAACTTGAACACCAGGTAGGCTTTATAATGATCTGAAAGTTTGTGTAGAAATATCAGGACAAGTACAGATTTTTTTTTATAAAGTACAGGTACAGTACGTTACATTAGTTACGATGTGGTTACGACAATACAGGAAGACCTAGATAATTACAGTAATTAGTCTGCTTAGTGATCACCCGTAACCACGTCAAACTTATAATAGACAAATGATAATAGAAACAGTAGTAATAATGGGTATATAACACATTATTATCTAGAATGACTGTCAGACTACTACTGTCACTCCGTAATAGTATATAAGTCTGGAGGTGTGTAGTACTTCACCCGACAGTAGAAAGTGTCAGTACGTTTCTGTCGTTATAACAGGAGTAGTTTACCCCCCCCCCCCTCCTTACTGTTCTTAAGTGAGGTAAAGTTTGTCTTCCATTGGTTACTAACCTCTAACTACCACTATCATTCTTACGTCTTGTAGTACCTCGTGATGTGGAACGAGTGATGTTGTGATGTTACTAGTCATGTTGTGGTGTGGAGCTTGTGATATTGTTGTGGAACGAGTGATGTTGTGATGTTACTAGTCATGTTGTGGTGTGGAGCTTGTGATATTGTTGTGGAACGAGTGATGTTGTGATGTTACTAGTTATGTTGTGGTGTGGAGCTTGTGATATTGTTGTGGGACGAGTGATGTTGTGATGTTACTAGTCATGTTGTGGTGTGGAACTTGTGATATTGTTGTGGAACGAGTGATGTTGTGATGTTACTAGTCATGTTGTGGTGTGGAGCTTGTGATATTGTTGTTATATAACTACTGTTGTCCTTTAACTTGTAAGGTTGATGTTGCTGTGATGTTCCGATGATGTAACTAGCGGTGTTACGGTGTTGGTAGCTAGTGATATCACGGTGGTGTAGCTAGTGATGTTACAGAGCCTAACTAGTAATCTTACTTCCGCGTAACTAGGGATGGTATTATACATTCCTTTCCCATAAAGTGATGTTAGCACGAATGACCATTTAAGTGATGGTAGAAGTATATCTGTAAGCGATGTTCCTAACACTGTCACTGACCAACGTTGTCACACGAGTACATCGTCACATCTAATATAAATTTCACCGTTCAGTAATTAATAAGTACAGGTAATATTTCCTTCTTTCTTCCCCACTAAACTGGAAATATTAAGTAGAATATACAGGTGTTCCAGAAGACACATTACCCATGACGTCCCCCGCACCAGACACCCACCTGTTACAATCTGGACTCTTGGCCTCCTGTAAATCGATTCTCGTACTGGTGGGAGGGTGGGTTGGGTGTTAAACTGTCTTTTGATGCACTGTATATTGTGAAATTGTCCTTCTGCCAGTAAGCAGTAGTTTCGCCACCTGATGGCCTGTTAGGGGCAGTGTAGCATTATAGGGTCTAAGTCTTCGCTACACAACGAGGCAGTGTGGCCAGCATTCCACTCGACCACCTTCACTTCCCTAATTGTAAAATTAAATACCCATTCACAGCTGGGTGAACTTGGGGGTGTCCCGGTCTCGCACCAACGATCTTTAGGACAGAAGGTGAGAGTTTCCCACACTATAACTTATTATAACGGGGCTCCACCTTCATAACCAAACGCCATAGGCAAGATTTAAATACACCAGAGCTAATGAACTTTGGTCGATTTTGGTCTTCAGTCGAATCATCGGCCACTCCATTGGTGACTTCAGTGTACATAAATTAACAATAATCTTAATGAATATAAATAATCCCCACAAACTACTTAACCCCCCAGCCACCAGCCCTTAGTAGCCAGGTGAAGGCGTCTTTTATAACATTACTTAATATCGTTTTTCTTACAT